GGTGAGCACCCCTGGGTGGGTCAGTGTTGAGACGTAGTCTCCACGACTCTGGGGATGCGTTCCTAGGGATTTCTTCCACTCTGGACAGCACTCCCCAGAAATGCTGTGGGGTTCTCTTGCGATGGCTTCCGGTGACTTCTTGGTCAGCAGGTGCAGATTGGAAAATTATGTATTGGAGTCACTTTCTGAAAGGATTCTTGGTGCATCCAGGGTCCTGGTTTGCAGGTTCCTTTTGAAACTTGAGCGTGGCCTTCTTTACCAGTCTCCTAGTAAAAGACCCAGAGTTTTCTCTCTGTTGCCTTTTATCTTTCAAAAATTACCCTTTTCCTCCTTTCCCACATCCTGTAAGCTTTTGAATTTTTATAGTAAAACTACTTTCAGGTGGGAAGAAACTTTTTTATATCCTTGAAAGAAACTTATAAAAAAATCTGGAACAACCCAAGCTCACCTTCCTTTTAAGTTTTAATAACATTTACGCACTTTTTTTCCTCTCTCGTCTCTCAACAAGGAGGTTTTTGTCTTCTGTTCTTAGAAGTTGATTTTTTTTTTTAAAGAATCCATTAAATTATATAGTGCCTAAAACAGGTGGGCCTGACACTCTGATCGATTGTCAAGCATCGCAAGTCAGGAGAGAGCTGCCTTGGCAGCCTTCTTGGGGTTGAGTGGGTGTTCGTAGGTGGGGAGCCGTGTACCGTACCCCTTGAGGAGAAAGGGGACCCTCCTTTTGTTGCTAATTTGGTAAAGACTGAAGTGAGGCTCCAAGTGAGGGTAGATAAGTAGAGATTTAAGTGGTTCGAGCTGTTGTGAATTCCAGGCACGTTCGTGGCGGGGTTGAGTACGCCACCATGCCATTTGCTTACGAGTGGCAGACAGATTGTCTGACACTGTGCTCCCGGCTGCCTCGGTCAGTTCCTGCCTTCACTGTGGTTCATGGTGAGATGCAGATGGCATCCACCTGGGCAGGATCTGCACCCAGGACTATGAACATGGGATCCCAGCCTGGAGTGAGGGCCTGACTTGCAGGGCTTTCTCCCTTCAGACACCGTCCCCATGCCTGCACCCCCCCGCCCCCCCGTGCCTTTCTGTGGAGCCCTTTATATGTATGACCTCATTTGTTTATTTATTGATTCAGCTTTGTTGTATAAAATTCCATGTCACACAAGCCACCCATTTAAAGTGTACTACGTTCACAGAGTCATACAACCATCCCCACAGTCCACTCTAGGGCAGGATGGAAACTGTGGGGCCATGGCCATGGTCCCCAATTCCTGCCCCCCACCACTCCAGCACGTCCCGGCCCCTGGCTTCCGGCCCCTGGCTTCTGTGTCTCTATATTTACCTATTCTGGACATTTTGTCTCCCACCCAATTCTAATTATATATCATTTGGTCACCGTCTCCCCATCCCTGCCCCCCCTCGCTAACCACCTGCACCTCTGAAAACCTCTTTTTGCGAGGTCAGCTTTTGAGGCTCCACATGTGACTGAGGTCATGTGATGCTGGTCTTCCTGTGCCTGGATTATTTTTTTTAACATAACGTTCTCCGGGTTCACCATGTTGCTCTTTCTGTAGCCGAGCAGTAGTGCTCTGTGTAGATGCACCCCATTTTCTGTATCTGTTCATCTACTCAGGGACACAGTTGATCCCATGTCCCAGCTATCGTGAATGGTGCCGCAGTAAACGTGGGATTGTAGACGTCTCTTTGACACCTGTGTGGCTTCGTCTGTTCCTCTCGCCAGCCCCGTGAAGGGATGATATCCCCACAAGCAGACTGAAAGGCCTGCCCAGCGATGCTCCCCGGGATTCGGTGCGGGAGATCAGACTCCCACATTTCTCTTCCTTGTTCCTTTCCCATGTTTTCAGTGCTTACTAATTGTCACTGTTGGTGAGGGGATGAAATTGTCCTAATGATTATCATTACAAGGGAAGGGGATCTGAGATGCCAAATGATTTCCCCAGTCAATTATAGTCAGGGCAGTGGGTAGAAATCAGGATGCGCTGCTCCCTGTCCAGGCCTTGGGCCAGCCTGGCGTGTTCTTGGTGAGTGTGCCCTTAATCAGTACTGGTCATCTCAGCAGCCTCCTCTGGGGGTCCCTGGAGGGGTGGTTGGGCCAGGAGGGCCTGTTCCTCATGTCCTTCTGCCTTGTAAAGATGACGGTGCCTTTGGCTGGAAGTAGGGCGGGGTTTCTGAACATGCTCAGGCTTTTCAAAGAGCTTCCTGTCAGGTCTGTGGATCAGAAACAGAGGGAACGGCTAGCTGAGGCCGTGGGGGACCTTGATGCTCTTGGGGATGTCCCTCCAGCTAGAGCTCTCGAGGACTCCGATCTCAGCTTAACTCTTCAGTTACTTGGATGTAGAAGTGGAAGGCGTGTTCATCTGTGGGCTTGATAAGATGATAAGTGCATTAGCGCCAGGATTGGGACCCTCCTGCCTCTTGGTGGGCCTGGGACGGTGGCCTGAGCGCTCTCAAGGTTTTATTGAGCATAAGTTTATGCACAGTGCTGCTCTCAGGTTGCAGAAACCTGCAGGGCACAGACAGGGGACGGAGGCCATGTGGTAACAGCACCTGTGGCAGGTGCTGGTTGATAGTCGCTCAGGTGCAGCTGCCAGAGGGCCTCCTCCAGGAGCCGGTCGGACAGGATTCAGCCCCAACGTGCACACCCTCGCTCAGTGTCTCGTGGGAATAACCTGAGACCTGCGCTTGGGCCAGGCAGGTCTCAGGTGCACAAATACAGACCCGGTGGATGCAGCCTAGCCCCGTGTATGAAGCAGCTTCAGGGTTTGGGTGCATTGTGAATTCACCCAGGTTCACTGCTCTGGTTGGCAGCACCTTTAACTTGATGTTACATTTTTTTAGAACAACTTTATTGTTTTCATTAAAATAAAAACAAAAAGAAAACAGATGACCTGAACGTAGAAGAAAGTACAAGAAGAAAGCCATACAGTGGTCCAGATTTTAGCTCCTGGAAATGACCCATTTTAATGTTTGATGAGACAGTTTATTAGATATCTCTGTGACCATTTCAGACAGAATTGATAGCTAGAGAAATACATAAATAGATAGGTCATTTTACAATAAGGTGTTACTTCAGTGCATATTAATTTCCAAATAAAATAATATCTAATTCTACTTTCATTTGACAAAAGAAAATGAAGCTAAGTTTGTACTAGTCAGCGTTCTCTGGAGGAACAGAGCCAATAGGATGGGAGTATAATTATACGAGGGGCATTATTAGATTGACACACAGGATCAGAAGCTGGATAGTCCCACAATGACCATCCAGGGCTGGGGAGCTGGAGGAAGCAGTAGTTGCTCATCTAAGAAGCTGGAGCCTCAGAATAAGAAAGACCAGCCCGAGGCTGAAGGCCTAGAAGCCCCCTGGAGAGTCACTGGTGAGAGTCCAGGTTCCAAAGCTGAAGCAGCTAGAGTCTGATGTCCACAAGCCATGGCACCAGCAAAAAACCGCACCTGCACAAGAGTAATTGACCTTGCACACCCTGGTGGGCTTCTGGCCTCTTCTGTTCCATGTTCAGTCCTGGTCTCCAGGCTGTTGGATGGTGTGGTCCACATTTAGGACAGGCCTCCACCCTCAGTTTGCTGACCTCCTGCCAGGCTTCTCTGGAAACTCACTTGTAGACACACTCAGGGTGTTCTTTACTAATTTCTTAGGTGTCTCTCAATCCCATCAAGTTGACAGTCAAGATTAATCATCACAGAAGAAGTACTAAAAAAGAAAGAAAAGTTTAAAAAGTCGGAACTCCTGATGACTTCTTTCACCACAAGGAATTAGGTTTTCTGATGTCCCTGTGAGACAGTCGTTCTTGATGGTGGTGACTTTGGTCGGTCGCAGTTGTAGACAACTTTGATCGGGCTTCTGTGCTGGGAGAGGTGGTGAGGAGCTTAATTGTAGCTTTTTCCTCCTCCCCTTAAAACCCAAACCAAGGGGCGGCATGTTATTTGAACCTTATTGAGCTTCTTAAAATGTGTCTTCTATTCTGCAACCGTAACCCCCTGAGCATTTGGTCTTAGTTCTTAAATGACTTGGTGCCACACACCACACCTTTAACCACAGTTTCCCCTTTTCTGGTTGTTTTTTGAGTCGCCTCTTGGGGAATTGCTTTTATCTCAATAGACATTTAGTGTATATGGGCAGGAGGTGTCGGACTGGGCTGTGGTTTGCCCTGGTCAGAGCTACACCTGCAGATTTGAGTTTGTGTCTGTGTACTGTACTCAGAAGACCGAGAGAGACCCGATGGATTGTCTGTGGGATAGTGGGGGTGGGGTGTTCAGCAGGGTCCTCTTGTGCAGTGGGGTGGGATTTGTGTTTCGACTGTGAAAAGATGTCAGTGTGGAAGCAGGATTATCGATCTTCACTCCAAGGACTCCCAGAGGGTTAAAACTAGGGCTGCATGAACATCAGCGCAGGGTGTCTAACATAGGCTTTCCGGGGAGGGTGATGGGTTCCTTGTCGGCTGAGGGGCGCTGGGGAACCACCTGTTGCCATTTGGGTGCCAGCTGAGTGGCTATGTTTCAGTGACTTTCCAACTTTAAGATTCTGATAGTCTAATAATGCTTCCTGATGGCCACCTGTCCTGGGGGCGAGTCCCAGTCGCGCTGGTTCCCTTCTCCTTGCTGTTTGGGACAGAGGTGAGAGCAGCCAGGGCCATGTTGCATGAACAGGTAGCTCAGGATAGTGCCTTAAGTGTTCTGTGCATCTTAAACTGCACCCACCATCTCCTGGCTCACGTGCGTACGTGTTAGCTTCTGCCAGCTAGTTCTGGTCAGTGTCTGTAGCATTTGCAAGATGACAGGGACGGAGTACATTTTAACCCCCTCCTGGGGCAAGGGATGTATAGACAGCTGGGCAGCATGTCCTAGATCCTGCAAAGGAAGATCGCGTCCCTAGACCCTGCCCTGCGTACTTGGAATTGGGTGTTCTGTGCCTGTTGGAATGGGTGTCTGTCACAGTGTCACTTACTGATGGCTTTCTTTTGTTGCAGGGGAGCTATCCAGTTTGGGAAGACTTCATAAACAAGGCAGGAAAGCTGCAGTCCCAGCTGCGGTAAGTAGGAGCCAGGGCTCCGTGGAAGAGGACACTGTGCTTAGAGGAGGCTGCAGTTAGGGACCAACAGGCAGACTGGGGTTGATTTTGGAAGCATGACATCTAGAGAAGCGTGTAGTGGGCTCTGACTGGAGCAATACCATCCATTAGCCATGTGGCCGGCCCCGGCTTCCCATGTGTAGAATTGGACTCACCTGCCCTGCCTCAGGAAGTCGAGGGTCCGGCGTGTAAGGCAGCAATGGGCTACATTTATGTAGTGCTTATTGTATGCTAGGCACATGTCATCCTGTCTAAGTATCACAACCCTACAAGGTAAGTACCGTCATCAGTCGCATTTTACTGATGAGGAGATGGAGACGCAGACATGCTACTAGTAATGTCATGCCACTAGAAATGACAGAGCAGAGATTTGAGCTTGGGCAGTCAGGCTGTGTCCAAGTTCTCACCCCTCTTATGGCCTTTGCCCACGCAGTGTCTAGTTCTGTTTAGGTGAATGTCTGGACATAGCCTATCTACAGAGGCAGATGTGGACTAGTGATTGCCTGGGGTGAGGGGTGGAAAAGGAAATTGACTCTACAAATAAGAGGTGTCTTTTGTGGGTGCAGATGTTCTAAAATTGGGTTGTGGTGATAGTCGAGCAACTCTAAATTTACTAAAAGTCATTGAATCGTACACTTAAAAAGGGAGAATTTCATAGTATGCAAATTATGCCTTAGTAAAGCTGCCTGGAAAAGCAAACAAGATCTGCTGATCTGCTCTGGGAAGCTATTCTTATTGCCTGGTGTGCTGTTCCCATAGCATGTGATACGATAGAAAATAGCATCTTGTTGAAACTCCACTGTTAGTTCAGTGCAGACAGGACTCTGTGCCTTGCCGGTACTCCATGAAGCAGGGAACATTTAAAAAAGGAGTTACTTGATGACCCCCATTCATAAAAGTTTTGGGTGGACAAGGATAGTTTGAGAACAGAGCAGGTCAGGAGGTGTTTTCTAGATTAAAGAGCCACCTGGATGACAGATAAGGGAGGAATGGTGTGACATTCCTGGGCCTCTGTCTGAGCAGAGATTATTGTTCTGAGCTTTAGCAGTAAGACTGGAGGTTCCATGGCTCCCCTGTAGGGAGAACTGGGGAGGGGTGCATGTTTTCCCTTCCATCCCTGCAGCTTTGAGTCAGGGCCGGTGGCTGGGATTTGCAGTGACTCAAGTGGGCCTCCAGGTGCACGCTGGCCTCCAGAATATGGCGCCTCCTCCAGTTGTCCAGTCCTTTCCGATTTCTCGGCTTAAGAACTTGTAATTACATTCTGCTGATGCAACCTCCTTGGCTCGGAATTCAAGGTCTTCAGCTGAGACCCTCGTCAGCCTCACCTCACTGAGCTCTGTCTACTCCCCCACCCGTCTCCACCAAGGCCACCATTTATTCCATCCTGTGGGAGCTCTCCTCCTGCATACAACATTGAAACACATTTCCCCCAACTTTTTCCTGTCTGGTCTCCTTTAATTTTGTGACCAGGAAGATGGTTCTGGTTCTCTTTTGTCAAGGAGGATGCTAGGGCTGAAAGCCTTGAACTCGTTAGCCATCTTGAATATGGCAAGCAAAACTTAATCTTACCCCATGGATACAAGGTATATCTTATAAGTTTTAATGACATGTAAGCCTCTTTGTTATTTTGTCAAGCTGCTAGTCTATGGCTGAGTTTAACTTTCTGTGTTAGAGGAGAAAGACTGCAGAAGCAGCCTAGAGGCCTTGACGTGTTCAAGCTGGATCACTCCTTGCCGTTGGTGATTCCCTATTTACTCTGTGCCCTTAGAGAGGACCAAGAAGTTGTATGACAGTGTCAGAAAGTACAATATGACTGCCATTGAAAAGCTCTTAATTCCTCAAAATTGGCCATCATCCTAACTTTTCTGGGAGCCCCAGTGACTATAATATACAGGTCTCCCCCACAGTTGACTCTTGAGATTTGTATGATTGGCAATGAGTTGAATGAGAATAAATCAAAGCATGTGTCAAGTATTAGTTGCAAAACAGAATGAGGTATTTATAAATTCTAGGAGGCTTGATAAAGCTAACTTTTGGAGAGTTTGCATTTGATATCAACTCTTGAAAAAGTATGTTTCAGAGTAGGTGTTTTTGTTGTTGTTGTTATTGTTGTTTTGGTTTTCTGTGTGTGCATGTGCATATAATTATTATTGAGAATTAAAGTATAGAGTTTTCTTGCTCTACTAGAAATTATCAGGCCTCATTTTGAAGTTTGGCTCTGAGGGACAACTCCCAGCACCTTCCATAAATCTTCTGTTTCATAGCCACGGTTGCTATGTTTTAAGGCCATTTCTCTCCTTTATCTTCCTTACTTTCTAGTCTTACTTTAGCAACTTTGCTTCCTTAGGAATGCTCAGTAGAGATTAGATTCATGCAAGAAATTCTTGAAGGTTAATACTGATCTCTAAGTTCAGTCATGAGGTCCTCGCTTGCGAGCTCTGGGCTTACTTGGAGCCTGTGGTACTGGCCCGTCCTTTTCACTACTCTTCCTCATGTGACAACTTAGGCCACAGTGCTGGGATCCAGTAGACCACACAGTACCCAAGAGGATGTTCAGAATCCAAAAAAGTTTCTAGGACAAAAAAATGAGAACAGTAAATTCTCCTCATTCTCAGCTTTTTGGAATTCGGAAGGCACAGTTGAAATTGCATCCTAAGGTTGAGGAAGCAAGACCTTGGTTTCATTTTAATTGGAATGCAGGGAGGAAAGTCGCACTGCCAGGGTCTTGGCTCATAGTAGTTTGAGCCGGGCCTGTGAGTCACGATGCTGGAACACGAGTCCCAGCTCCGGTGTAAACTAGTGATCTTCAAATTCCCTTTAGATCTGTGGCCTCGATTTCCTTTCTCTACGGTGAATTGTTGAACTCCATGGTTTCTTTCCAAGATTGAGTCCTTTGCCCAAATCACGTGTGTGTGGATCATTTGCCTAAAGTTGATTTCCCCTGCATCAGTTATATTTCTGATGATGTTTTTTTATTTCAGGTAGAAACACCTATCTTTTCCTCCTTTGTACAACTTTGCCTGGTAGTAATTCATAGGGGAAATGGAACGAGAAGAACCACTTGGATTGATTGATGAGCGCTGAAGGAGCTGGACACTGTAGTGTGTAGGGAACGGTCAGGCTGAGTGGCCACGGGCGTCCATGCCCAGGGACTTGTTCCTCCTGGGAGGTTCCATTCTTTCTGTAGCAGCGATTGCAGCCTTTGAGCTGCAGTGAATTAGCCATGCTGAGCCCTCGCTCACGCTTTTGTTATCTGTTTGCATTTCAGGACAACCGTAGTAGCAGCAGCTGCCTTCTTGGACGCCTTTCAGAAAGTGGCTGACATGGCCACCAGCACACGAGGTAAGCAGATGGGAGGCTGCTGCCGAGCTCCCCGGATTCTGCACGTGGGCCCTTCCCTGGTGGCTCCATGAGAAGACACAGCTTAAGTGTTCACAGCTTAGCTGACTCATAGTTTTCTTTTAAAAAAAATTCTGTGGGGTTACACATATTAGAAGTTGTACTAGTTCCCCAGATAATCAAGCACATGCGAAGAAGAATGAAAAATAAAGAAAAGGAAGCCCTGTTCCTACGCGGGGGGGCTGACGTGTGTTTTGGTCATTGTGTGCTGAGCTGGCTGTGGAGTCTGCAGCTACACCCATTGATGACTTTGCTTTTCCCTGCTGATGGCTTGCGCTAGGGTTCTTCATGATCCCTGTGGAGTGGGGAGCGTGGAGGTGATCAGTAGCCCCTTTTCTGCGTTCCCACCAAACAAGGAACCCTTGTACAATAGGTGCAGTATGCTGTGTGTGATCACCAGTGCGTGCGTCTCCCACATTTGACTGTGGGCCCTTTGAACTATCAACAGTGATAGTTTACATCGGAGACCCTTTACATCGGAGACCCTCCCCACCCCCCAAAATAAAGCCCAGAACAGAGTTGATGTTTAAAGTATGTCAGTTAAATCAGTGGACACAGGGAAGTATTTTGAAACAGACGTAATGGTTCCAATGAATACAAAGAGTCTGATCATGCGTGGGAGGTATAGGAAATGCCCTCTGCCCCATACCTCCATCTTCAGGGCTCAGCACTGCCAGCAACGTGTGACTCCCTGCTCTCGGCTCGGCTCCTGCCTTCTCCTTCTAGCACAGTGACTCTTCTTTCTGCCTCTTGCTTGCCTCATCTTTCCTTTGTACTAACAGTACGTGCCTGTTCTCGTCACTTGCACGGTGACATTGGGGAGTTTGGGAATTGCTCCCAGTCACTTGAGAGTTTAATTTCTCTGAAGCTCCCCCTGTGAGTTGCTCCAGTGGTTCTCAGTAGATGCCCATCTACCACGGGTACTTAATTAAATATTCCAATAAGTTTGCAGCACAGACACTGCTCGTGCATTAAGAAACTCCTCCTCCTTTTATCACAGGACCACAAAAATCAATACCTTACTCTCCGTGTCCTGGAAGAGCTTGCAATTGAGTGGGGAAAGTGAGACGTGTAAATAAAGAACGTCAGTGTGGAAGGAATCCGTGTGGTGTGGCGTGGTAGTGGTGGGAGAGGGGAGCACAAGGGGAGTATTCAGAAGGGGTAATTAACCTGGCTCTGGGAATTGGGGAGGTTTGCCCAGGGGAGGTGACAGTTCTCATTTCCAGGATGCCAAGAGAGTTTCTGAAGGTCCCCTCAGACAATGTGACGGAGACATCAGAGCTGTGGTGTCTTCATCTGGTCTGTTAGCTTGGTGTGGATCTTAACCAGTCTCATTTTAAAAGCCCATTTGAAAAATGATTACCTAGCTTATGTGTGTCTGTTGTAGAACTTCAATAAACGTAACTGGGAGAGATTTCACATGCAGGCTACTGTTGACTGCCGTGGGCGTGGCTGAGTCTGCCCTGTTGTTCTTCTAGCTCAGCAGGATTTGCAGCTGGGTTTGTCAGCTGCATCCATATCTTTCTAGAAGAGCCCCCAGAATGTCCTTTTTTTTTTTTAAATGCTGCGCTACTATTTTGAAGAGCTTAGATACCTGGTATTGCATTTTTGAGGCTGAGATGCATGATGCTTTCATAGATTGCTGTTGAATTATTATAGATCCTGCAGAAGGACTAGAGAGACATCCCCTGATTATCCATAATTTCCTGTGGTAAGAACCTGAGTTTTTGAAGAAGCTGCTCCCAGGGTGGTTCTTGGTGGGAAGCTGGAGGGCCTGGAAATTCTCATGCCTCCCAGGGAGGAAAAACAGAGCAATTATTTGTGGGAAAAGAAAACCAGAATAGACTCTGGTGGTGATAGGGGTAGAGGAGGAGTTTAGAGGTGATATATTTGATCAAAGACAAATCATGTCACAGTGAACAGACCCCAGCGTTGACATAATTTTAAACTTTCGTTTGATTTCAGGTTGTTTTTCACAATGCCAGAACACTGTGTTTAAAATCCATATACACTAATACTTTCCGTCAGCCTGGGAGTGTGGGAACTCTCGTAGGAACTGAAGAATGCATGGTTCAAGAAAGAAGGGCTGTTTTATAGAGATGATAAGAGAAATTCAAATGCACTTCTTGTATGTCAACAAGTGTCAGATGTGATTTGAAGTCAATTTTTAGTTAAAAGTGAAAAAATATAGAACACATTCTTTACTGTAAAGGCTTCAAATAACAAAGTATAGGCAGTAAAATCTATCCTCATCCCTCCCAGGGTTGGGTTTGGTGTCCTTCACAGACTTTTTTTGCATATCTCAACAAACACATCTGGGAGAAAAATAACAAAGTGCAGAATAATGTGTGGAATGATATATGCAGTAAGAGACATCTGCATGATCTCTTTTAGAAGTTAGCCCTTGGGAAACATCGTTCCAGGGCTTTTATTTCATACTACGTTGTAATTATCTATCCCTGCCAGTACCTGTAGGTCTGCCTTGTGCTTTGTGGTGGACAGGTGGAATTTCAGTGTCTGGATGCAGCACACTTCAATTATTGTTCTGCTGATGGACATTTAGTTTACCTCCAGGTATTTGCCGTCACAGCTGTGCCAGTGTGAATGTCAGTGTGTACGGCTCAGTGTGATTATTTTTAATAGTGCCTGCATCACCAAGGAAATGATGAATCTGTAGAAAATGCTGCAAACTATTTTGGTCAGATGCAAGTTTAGGCTTAAGGACAGAACAGGTGGTAACTCTGAGTTGGCAGTATGATGTGTCCTCTGCTCAAAGAGTATCCTTAGTTCAGACTTTTTTTATTTTTTCAACTTTTTTTTTTTTCGAAGTTGTAGATGGACAGAATGCCCTTATTTTGTTTATTTTTATGGGGGGCTAAGGATCAAACCCAGTGCCTCACACATGCTAGGCAAGCCCTCTGCCACTGAGCCACAGCCCCAGCCCCAGTCCATGGTTTTGCGTACAGTCTATCAGTATATTTGTTTGAGTCCCTCTTGTCAGAAATGAGTCAATAATTGACTCAGTGGCATAGCAGAACTTCTTTCTTTCTGTCACTTAGGGCCTGCTGATCAGCCTCTGCCTCTGGTGACCACCATTCTACTCTTAATCCTGTGACCTCCATGTTTTTATATTCCATATATGAATGAGATCTCATGGTGATCATCTTTCTGTGCTTGGTTTATTGCAGTTAACATAATGACCTTCAGTTCCATCAATGCAAGTGATGGGGTTTTGTTTTTTTAATGGCCGAATAGTATTCTACTGTGAATATGTACCACAGTTTCTTTATCCATTTATCCATTGATGGGCATTTAGGTTTAATTGTGGTTCTGGGATGATGCATATTTAGTTTGTTTCCGTTTTTGACTATTGTGAATTGTGCTGCAGCAAACATGGGTGTGCAGATCTTCAATACTGGCTTCAGTAATTTAATTCCCACCAACAGGGTGTAAGGAAGTGCCCCCTTTTCTCTATCCTTGCCAACATTTGTTGTCTTTTGTCTTTCTAATAATAGTCCTTTATTTAAAATTTTTTTTTAGTTGTAGATGGACACAATACGTATTCTTTATTTTATTTTTATGTGGTGCTGAGGATCGAACCCGGTGCCTCCCACATGCAAGGTGAGCACTCTACCACTGAACTACAGCCCCAGCCCCACACTAGTCCTTCTTACTGGAGCGAAGTGACATTGTGGTTTTGATTTGCATTTCTTGGATGAGGAGTGATGTTGAGCATTTTTTTTTCATATACCTGTTGGCCATTTGCATGTTTTTGCAGTTATTCTTAAGGTGTGTCTTTTTGGACAGGTGTCCAGAATTTCAAGCTTTCAGGTTTCTGGTTTCCAAAATAATAGTGTTTTGTATTGTTTCCCAAAGGAAAATTCTTTGAATGGTTTTTGTCAAAGGTTTAGCGAATTTTTTGCACTAGTTATTAGTAAAATTTACTTAGGAAAAACTTTTAAAATGAGTCAAAGGGCAGAATCAGATCTAGGCATTATATACCTATTGTTAAACAGAATGTAGAAATAGGTAAGAACTGTATTTTGTCCATTGTTTTTTTTTTTAATTTATTTTTTGCTTTTTTGATACTGGGCATTGAACCCAGGGGTGCTTACCCACTGAGCCACATCCCCAGTCCTTTAAAAGGAAGATCTCCCTTTTCTCTGTCAATTCTCAATTATAGTTCTGCTGATGGACATTTAGTTTACCTCCAGGCATTTGCCATCACAGCTGTGCCAGGGTGAATGTCAGTGTGTACTGCTTAGTGTGATTATTTTTAATAGTGCGTGCATCACCAAGGAAATGATGAATTTGTAGAAAATGCTGCAAACTATTTTGGTCAGATGCAAGTTTGAGCAATTTTTTCTTGTTGTTGAGTCAGGGTCTCACTAAGTTGCTTAGGGCCTCACTAAGCTGCTGAGGCTGACTTTGAACTGACGATCCTCCTACCTTAGCCTCCCAAGCCAGTGCTGGCATTATAGATGTGCCCATCTGTTCATTGATTTTAAATGAAAAATATAAGCTGGCTATTATCATATATATATATTGTGATTAATAATTAAGCTATAATGGAATTAGAGTTGGTTAGCACTGGACATAGTTCCCTATTTTGTTGGAAGACCACTTTAGAATGAATATATAATTTGTGTTAAATATGAAAGTACATCTTTTTTTCTGGATTATTGGTTACAAAAAAATTAGTTTTTAGTTATTCATAATGTATAGAATCCCAGAATTTGTGGATCAGGGTCTCTGTTACATGGCCTGTCTTAGGAGTGGAGAAATATTTGGAATGACTGGTGTCCATTTACCTGGGTTATTTTAAAAAATAAGGAAAAAATAAAAGAGAAATTGAGGAAATTAGAAAGGCCTCTTATGTGTCTGGTCCTTGGCAGAGATGACCTGTGTGGGGAATTCAGTGGTTACGCCTGTGGCCTGGCCTC